CTCTGTCCCTTCCTGTCGTTTCTTAGTCTGGCTTACCCTTTCCATAGCTGTCTTTCTAATGCTTTCTGCCTTTTCTTTGTCTTGGTTATCTTTCTTAGAAGCTGCAGCATTCCTACTCTCTTCGCTATCTTTCTCTTTCTCAGTGATATCTTCTAATAACCGGTCCAATTCTGACATTTGTGTTGATGTTCCACTGCTTGCCTCATCCTTTTTGTTTTTTTCTTTATACTTAGCTTGTAATAGTGCAAACCTCTCTCTCACTGATCTTTGCTTTACGGCAAACTTTAATTCTGCAGAACTATTGAGCGACCTTGCTATCTTCGACCACACATCACCTCTGTCAGGACTTCCTTTCTTAAATTGAAACGGGTCCTCAAACGCAGTCTCTCTCAGCAACATCAAATCATGGTCTTGGGTCCACTCCATTGTAGCCCTACAGTAAGACAAAATAATCAGACACGAGTTTTTAACCTGATTAGCCTGTCAGCTATTCAGGGATTCTAGATCATGGCTTAGAAATAACATACAAATCATTGAATCTTGGAAACGATGCTACAAATTTTATCAACAAACAGCGAAACAATTAGGAAAATTCAACCGTGATTCCACTGATTCCAGCTTAAATCAGATTTTTACAATGTTCGCTCAAATAAAAATTGTCAGTCAAGGACTGCAAGTGGTTACAGCTATAAGCTTAATCATTCTTTCTGTTTCATTTCCTATCTTGCACTGAAAAACTTGTTCGAGACAGTAGCCACTTGCAGAGAAATTTAAAGGAGGATGTCCTTCAATGATTACAGCCCGTTATCACGTCTAGCAACTCATATGAGCACGTTTAAATGCTTCTCGCCTTTCATTTTGATGCCCGACTTGAAGCTGGACACCATCAAGAGTTATATAACAAAATTAAAGCGGCCATAGGCAAAAAAGGCATGTTTTGTCTAGTTATAACAAAGATATTCGGTGACTGAAACATGATAATAGATAAAAACTTGAAAGAAAAACCCTCTTCCAAACGTTAAGAAACAATTTAGATAAAGAGTATTAGCGTTATATATCAAAATGAAAACGGAAAGGACAAGCAAAATCATGTACAAAAATTAGCTCACTTGGGATGCTTTTCGACCGACATGTGTCTTCCACACCTGTGAAAAAAGCGTAAATAAAACAAAAATATCAAACCAATTCTAAAGAAAACTGGTCTAAATTTATGAAGAAAAGGAATAAGAAGTTGTTTTTCAAATGAAAACACTAAAAGTCGATTAAAAGGTTAATAAAATACTCACCTAAAACTCCCGTAGTCGCCAGTACGTCAAACTACTCGGTTTGCCGTACTAGGGAAGGCCGCTACGGCGGCAAGAACCGAAGGTGACACTCGCGCGCGCGAAAAAGAGTCTGACTTCATTTCCGGTTCCCGTAGCCGTCCTAAAAACCGTCGGTGCTAAAAGTCCCTATTGTTTTCAAAGGAGCTACGGGAGCTTATGAACGTATTTATCGTTTCAATTCGAAATTAGCAAGAAAGAGAAATTTGCGAATTCGAAATGGGTTTGAAGAATTGTTTTGTTTTCACTCTAATCTAAGTGATGATACCATAATTTCTGCCTAAAGGCTACAGGTCTGAAAACGGGTATGAATTTTAAAGGTCTGGTGTGAAAGCGGGTGTCGAAAATTACATTCTTTGGTCTGAAATAGATTAAGGATTTGGAGAACCGGGCGGCACACCCCCACGAAGAATTGTCAGGAGTACCCCCCCCCCC